AGAGGACTGCCAAGAGAGCAGGTTTCATGCCATATAAAGGGCGCATGCCCACCCATCCTTATAAACTAATATGACCAATACAGTGCAAAGCACCATGTAAGATATAAGATGATACATAATCTTTCTACTCAAGCTGAGCATCTCGTTTACTAATACATTTGTATCCAGACTGAGCACCTCAACAGGAATTCTACTCATTTATAATAACAGAAAAGGTTCTCATTTGAGATGATAATATGCACAGCTTGAGCTGAGACACTACAACACAACTAAGGGCATCCAAAGCAGTTCAATTCCTTTATTTTGAAATTCATGAGAGGCATGTAAACATAGTTAACTGTTACTAATGATCTAACTTGTTTAAATTGCTGTTCCTTTTTCCTGAAAGATAACCCTCTTTTCCTACGGGAATGCTTTTTGCATGCTTAACATGCAAATGTTGTACTTCAGAGCTGGTACTTTAGCTTTTTCTGTAGTTTGAAATCAGAAGTTACTGACACACTGCTGTTGACATCACCTTGCCATTGTCTGACAGCTACTGTGTTAGCATTTTCAGTAGAGATTTCTTCTGGAGGAGGCAGATGGAATTACCTTCTCTCTACTCAACAGACTCTTCAAATGGGAGCATTACAACAGATCACCATGTGCTTCTCAATGTGGACTGTGCTTTGGGGAAATCAAAGCTATCTCCCTACTGACAAGACCTACTGCAGTCTCCTGGAACAATAAGGAGTTCAATTTGTACCATTAACACCAAGTTATGAATTCTAAATTAAACTGCTTTGTTTGCCAGGATTTTAGACACATTAGACATTACACTGTATTAAAAACACCCAAACCTTTCTCTAAGTAGATGCTTTGAAAAGAACACACAACTTGTTACTCCTGTAGCTTTCAAAATCACAGTTTTCCATGCTCTGTGGAGTTTGAGGCATGAAAACATACATTTACAAGACTAGTAGATCCGTAAAACAAGCCATTCTCCTTATAACTCTGGGCCCAGAGGAAGAGCCAGGACCGTGCTTTTCAGAACACAGAGTTCTCACTATAGAAGTAAAACCCTAACCTGAACAAGATTTTAATTTTTTTTTTTTAAATCTGCAGACAACTCAGCCAAAGTTAACTTGCTTTCTCTTCTTCTCAGTGCAGACTGCACTACAAATTCTGCTAGTGTTTTAGCAAAAGGGTTGCCTGTAGGAAAGTCTGGCTTCACCCATCAACTCCTGCTATGTGTGTCAAAACAGTGTCTTCTGACCATTGTCTAGCCAGTCTGTATTACAGCCTATCACCTACAAAAACTTTTGGGATAGGTAATAAAATACAAGTCAACGATAAGTGAAAACAAGCCACAAGAGCCCCACTCTTTCTGACCTTCCAAGGGATGTGGAAAGCAGACACAATCCATTCAATTCACTAACAGCATAATACAGCCATTGTTTACAAAAGCAATGTTAAAAGCAAAACATGTTTTGATAACGAGAAAGAACACATGAAATGTTTTTAAACTAATGAAAAGCTATTTTACAGTATCCCTTATGTATTTCTAGGTGTGCTTTCTTGCAAACAGAGCTCTGGGTAAGTTACACGTGAAAAGAAGAAATAATCTAGTAAGAAAGTGTTCATTCATGTTTTTCTACTTTAAAACATTAAAAAAAAATCTGAATGAGATGTTGCCTCGAGTCTTCTACAGTTCCTTCAGTTACAAGTGTTCACAGATTTTTTCCACTCTGCTGACATTCCCTCAACTTCTACACATTTGGTGAGAAAGGGCTATTTTCACCTTTCCAATTAGCTTAATAGCTAATTTACCTGATGGATCACAACTACACAGCAACAGTGGTCTAAATAAGCCAGTGTTCACCAGCATACAACAGAAATGCTTCAGAAAGACACAGTGATGCCGGCAGTTTCCACGGAAGGAAAACAACAGACTAGCTCATGAACCTCCTTTCATCTTATTCAGACCAGTCCTCCTCAGTGTTCACAGCCAGTATGTAAGTAATATAATTTAGGGTTATGGAAGAGGCATAACCAAGTAAATACATACTAGCAGTGAATTACAGACTAAGACTGAGTCCATCAGACACCAAAAGCAAGACATTGAGCAATACGTGAGCACCTCAGCACAGGAGGGTGGGGCAAGCAGCACAGAGAAGCAAAACTGAAAGGGAAAGAGTGATGTGATGAAAGAAGCAGCTACAACTTTACTACACCATCTTCTGCTTCGATTATTAGGAATCTTTTATGATACTACATTAAGCTTGGCTTCCCAATTGATCTACTAACTGAATACATATGTTTAACTCTTAATACATGAGCAGGGACTACAAGGAGGAAAACAACCAACCAACCAGGAAGAAGAAATAGTTGGGGGAACAAAGGCTTTCTCTTTTCCTGTTTCCTTGTTAGCTTCACATCTTAACAGTTATCTAATCTTTTAAGAATAACCTTTAAAAATAGACTGGTGTCTGTGGGGTTTCAATTTCTCTTTTACTCTCAGTATTTACTCGAAATTTTCTATTGTGTCTCCTCTTTTCTAAAGCTTCCCTTCCTCTGTCTTTCCTTTACCCAGGCACACATCAGCTGCATATTGTGCCCTTTGCCAAACACACAGAAATGCAACAAGCCGTAAGCCTTGCTTCTGCACCTGCTGTATGTGAACATCTGCAGAGACCAGCATCACCTCATTCATTAGCCATGCGCTAAAGGCACATCCTTGCTCTTCTTCATAGTACATAGCGCAGTAGTTCTCAAACCAAAATAAAATGTAAGGAGCACTATAAATCCTCTCTATGCTGGTTTGAACTCAACTGCAGTGTAAAACAAAAGCACACAAAGGGGGGAAAAAACCCCTAACACAAACCCCCTTTCTTCTCCCTTGATGAGATGACCTTTTATCAAGAGTGTAAACAAAATTCAACAGGTTAAAAACAACCAACCCCGCCCCGCCAAAACAAAACCCACAGCAGAAAAACCTCACAGGAAAAAAAAAAAAAATCCTTGTTCACCAAGTATGATTTAGACAGGTAACACTATAAAATTCAGTAACAGCAATAAAAATCAGCAAGTAATTTTCTTATTAAATGACCACTTTTTATTAATAGTCTGTATGTGCAGACATTAAGAATAAAGCTGATTTGTGAGCAAAAAGTGCCAGACGTCTAGAAACCAGATTTATAGATGTGAAAGTTCTTGCATAAACAGGAGCCAACCCTTTCAACAATTTTCACACAAATGAAACCCTAATGAACTCAGAAAGGCTCTCTGCAGCTTCTCTATGCCTGTGAAGGAGAAACTATTCACCAGCACCCAGCCCTGACCCACTCTGTGATCAAGACACAGAGCTGGGACTTGGGAGGTCAAGGTTCTGTTCCCAATTCAGCCACAGACCACCTGTGCGACCCTGGGCAAGTCTCTTAATCTCTGAAGCTTTGTTGTTCGTTTAAGAGAAGAAACGCATAGCCCTAACGTGCCTTTTGTCATACTGGTCAGACCGTTATGGGTATAGAAAACCTTCACATCACACCTGTAAAATGTGAGTCTATAACCTCGCACAGCTCCTCTCAGGACTACTGTAACAACTGTCCATGCCCCAGACCTCTAGTATTAAAGACTGTCTAGAATTTGGTTCCAAGTGTTTATAGTTTTAAGCACGATTTTCCCCAAAAGGTGGTACTATTTACTCACACAGACAGACAAGTAAACCATAGTAATCTGGCAAGTTTGGATACACTGGTATATTTGCAACTCTCTCATATTAACATTTCACGTAATATCCCAACAAGCGTTACTTTACAACTATATTTCTACTATTTTAAGTCCAAGTGACTTTTTGCCTGTGGCTTATGTTCCACTCCACATATGTAAAGCTAACACAAAAGGCTGTGAAATACCACTGGCGTTCAGGAAAGTTATCCAAAAACCTAAGTCCTGCAGAAAAAAAGTAACTGATTATTTCTAATGGAAAGATGTCTTTACAAGTTTGCCCAGATAAAAAGTACATGCATGCCTTTTATTTCTATCTAGGGATATCAAAGCATGTATTTTACACAAATAGCAATAAGTACAAGGACCTACAGACACTAAGTAGACCTATATGGAGCTTAAAATAGTTCTCAGTACTTTTGGGTTTTTTTTTTCCTTTTCATTTCAGCTGCTTTACTTAAACATGTCAAACGCTCAGTAACACATTCCTTAGTTTTCCTACGCTGCTTCCAAGTTTTACCAAGTCTGACAAATACTGCGCATCACCGTGCCACTCTGTTTACCCTGCCTGGAGAAAGCCAACATCCTCCTGAAGTTTCCTCCTGAAGACAGAGAAGGGTAAATATCATCCTGACCGACACCGCCTGCAAGTCAGATTTACATAACACCGAGACACGGCCTGACAAAACCCCATAAGCCCTAAATCCTTTCTCCTGCCCGCTTAAGTGGGACATTTTCAGCCTCAATGACACTGGGGTTCTTACTTGGGGGGGGAATAAATACACCCGTGAGGTGGTCAAGGAATTATTCCATATATCAGGAAAAGGGATCAACAACAGAAAAACAGAGAGGGGAAACTTCTCTGGGGGAGACACGAGGGGCAGACCCCTCACCGCCTCTCTGAGGGGCCTTGTCCCCAAAGGAAGCGCCCCAGACCCCCCGCTTGGGCCTCCTCTCCCCTTTCCCCGTCCCTCGCTTCTCCACAGGCGACCCCGGGCCGGGACCCCGCCGCCACGAGGCGCCTGAGGGCGGGCTCCCGCCGTCCTCGCCCGCGGCCCCGGACAAGCGCCTGAGTGGGGGGGGACAACAGGTAAACCCGGCCCCGGAGGGAGCGCCGGGGCCGCGGCGGGTGCGAGGGGGGGCTGCGTCTCCTCTCGCCCGCCTGAAGGAAAGCGTGAGACGGACGAAGGGAAAAGCAAACCCCGGCGGGGCGCAGGGGGAGAAGGCGGGTGGTGAGGGGTCCTCCCCGGCCGGCTGGCAGATCCCGGCGCCCGCGACCCTCCCCGTCCACTCACACACACAGAGCTCCACCACGTAGGCGTAGTAGGACCAGGCCACGACCAGGGCGATGAAGGCCACGGGCACCCAGGCCAACACCTTCTGGCAACACTTGAGGACGTGGGACGGCGCCATCTTCCCTGCCGGGGCACCGCAGGAGGCATCAGCGCCGGCGCTGCAACGGGCGGCGGCGGCTGCAGCTACAGCCGCCGCTGCGGA